CCACGGTTTGTTTGGGTTTTTCCTCCTCTTTCATTCTGTATTTGCTTTGCACTGGATTTTGTAATCATTAACCCGCTATCCCTTCTGGAAGTGAGCGTGGAAGGGATAACCGGGGAGTCACATGCCTGCCACTGAGTAGAGCAAAACTTGAGTTTTGAGTCAAAGTGGAAATATGCATTATCTGGCTAAATGTCTTATTATTTATTTACGTGGCTCTGAAAATGCTGCCTTGTGATTTACAGAAAGAAGAGAGTGAGCATTCCAGGCAGCTCCTGTACAGGGTATGGCAGAAGAGAAAATTTGTGACGTGGGGGGTCCAAGATACATTGGAATTAATTATTTTCTGTATCCGTGTCCTCCAGTTTGTTAACAGTTTTAAAAAGTTTTATTGTACTTTGTCGTGACAACTCAGAAAGGCTAAATGTGGTTAAAGCAAAGAAAGATTTAAATGGGCAATGTTGTGCAGAACATCACATATTTCAGATGTCCACTTCCAAAAAATGTTTATGAAACTGTAGGTTAATTAAAATAGCTGGGCTGTTTAACTTAAATTAAAATACTTGTGTTCTAGCAAACATTTGAAGCCTGGCCTTCTAGGGTAAAGACAGAAAATTAAAATAATTTCCTCCATTCATGTAGAATACTTTAACATCTTTAAAAAGAATAGAGAAGAAAGGACTATTTGCAAACTTGGTCTAGTTTTCTTTGATTTTTAAAGACATGGTAACCATTTTTGAGACCTATAGGAAGCAGCCGTGGTGGCCGAGAGGAAGGAAGGAAGGAGTAGGGAGCAGGGCTGGCTCCTTGGAGGGGAGGCCTTAGAACAAAACTTTTGGAATGGGAAGTGAGGAAGGCCGGGCAGCATCTCTGGAGAGGCTGCACTGCTGAACTCCTGTGTTTGCTCAAGGTCCTTGTTCTCTCTCTGAAGAGCAGAAGCGTTTTCCAAGGATGGAAGGAGCCCACCTCTTCCATGGAAGGTGTGCAGGCTGGGCTGTGGTTATTTCCTGCCAGTGTAGAGGAAGGAGAAATCTGTGTCAGCAGACTGCAGCGGGCTGTAGCTCCTGCTGAATTCCTGGTCATTTTCAGGAGGTTAGACTTGTCTCTGGACGTTCTTGGCGTGTAGAATTGTCTTCTGTCTGGAGCTTTCCAACCATTTTCCTTTGCTCCACGTTGCGTAGAACGCAGGCAGAGGTGTGGAGAAGAAAGGGTAGCATTGCTAACGGTGAGGGTTTCATGTTTTCAGTGCTCGGTTCCTCGGGGTCTCACCATTGATGGTGCCAGTCTGGTGCTGCTTTGGCATGTGTGGTTCAAAGAGAATCTTTAGTCTTGCAAGTTTGGTTAGTCCTGGTTTTGTAAAGGGCTTTCTTTGGCTGGGCTGTTCATCCAGACTCATTGTCTCTACTAACTATTGGCAGCATTTTTCACCTCTGGACAAAGAAGATGCTGATAAAGTGCCAGTTCTAGCTTTGTGTGCTTGACAGGCTAAATACGAGGTGGAAATGGACTAGGACTGGATTTCCTGGGGAACTGGAGAAAGATTCTACACAGAAATACCTGTGTGTTGGGGCTGGGGGAGCCCCAGGGGTAACTGCTGTCAGTGTTGCTGAGGAAGTGACCAAACCCAGCTTTGTGGCTTGTCTGAGAAGGAATTTCAGACACAGCTGGTTTCAAAACAAAGGCTCAGAAGTAAATGAGAAGACAGTAAGCAGTTGGGAAGGTACAACAGAAGATGGCATAAGGCAAGCCATGACAGACCTAAACATGGGAGAAAGAGTTTAAACTGTGTGGATATGTGGGTTTTGGTGACTCTTGTTTCTGCCTTGTGCAGTTTTTCCATGGATGTTCATTCAGAATGCAATGCTTAAGGTCGCAGAGCTCTCTTCCTTTGAAGCCCCTCTGTTAATGTTCCTCAAAAACCTGTGGGTGGACTGAGATTTTTTTTTTTGAACTGTGAAATCTTGTTTGGAAATAAAAAAAAAGTAAAAAAAAAGTAGTCTAAGAAGCTGCTTCATGTTGTGAAAAACCTCACTGTAGAATCATAAAAGCTGCAGTTTTTCCACGTTGCTTTGTAGCCTGGCATGTAAATAGAGCTCTTTGAAGAGCATATCCATGGCTGGAAAGGGGGAGTGGGAAAGGCTCTGGCTGGTGAACAAGCTTCTGAGTGTGTGAAAAGGCACCGTGAACATGCTTGGGGAAGTGTCTGCTAAAGCTTGGAACTGTGTCCTGGGCTGGGGGACACGCCTGGAGTGGCCAGTGTGCCCAGGTGTCACTATGGAGAGGGCAGAACAGTGGCAGTTTGTGCATTTACAGACTGGGCTGCTGGAGGGAGGTGCTGGGATGATCTGATCTGATCTGATCTGATCTGATCTGATGTGAGGGAGATGCTGGGGAGCTGAGGATGCCCAGGCTCAGTCTGCACCTCTCTGGGGAGTTCGGGTTTATGGTGTCTCTCACCATGCCAACAGCAGACTTCAGCATTTTGGGGTCTGTGCCTACCTTGTACTGCGCTGGAGAGCGAGGACTTTCCTGAGCAGCCACATGAGGAGCACTTGGCTGCTGTGGTGTCCTGGATCTGCTGTAGCCCAGCACAACTGGCAAGTGAAGATTGCTTTGCTGCTGAATATGCTGCAGTGAGGAAACCAAAAAGAAAATTCCTGTTTAAAGCAATATGAAAAAACTGTTAAGAGATTTAAAGAACAGAAAATAGAAACCCTTTTGTAGAAACCATACTTTGACTATGTTTGTTGTGACTGCGGTGTGATTTGACAAACAGAAACTTTGTACTTGATATTTTTGGAAGGAGAAGCCTTACCTGAAAGGCATTGCTGCTGTCTTTTGTTAAAAGCAGTAATTGATATAAGCTACAAGGCCGAAGACAGTATTTTTTCCAGTTGTACTTCTGCAGTTCTTGGCACTTGTGTAGTTTTTCCTTCTCATGTGCAAGTTTTTCACTGAGCACAGATGACAGAAAACAGTGTCACAGTTGGTGTCAGTGTCAGCTCACAGAGGGACAGTGTTCCTATTTAGCTTCTTTGAAAACCTCAATTCATGTCCCTTAACAAAAAACCTGCAGAGCAATTCTTACGAATGATATGAGCGAGTAAACATCTTGCACTCTGGTTTTTTTAGACTTTATTTAGTAGCTAAATTACCTTATGTTTCTGGTCATCATGGAATAAGAGGGGACAGAATTCTTGGAGCGCACCCCACGCTGGCCTGCTGTGTTGTGCTCCTCGCTCTGCTGTGCAATGCACATCCTGACCTCTCTAATTTCCTGTGTGGTGTCAGGATGTGGATGAGGTGCTGGCTATAGGGGAAGCCCCAGAACACAGTCAGGGCGTGCCATTTGTTCTGCTGTTTGTGAAGGTGTGTAAAGCACAGCCCTGGGCTGCTCTGTGCCTCCTTTGCTGCTGACCCAGGGCTGGCTTTGCTGGGCCAGGCTGTTTCTCTGGGCCACCTGCACATCTGCCCATTGGCTTCTCCAGGGATAAAGACCAGGGATTAATTACTGAACCCCATGCCCTTGTGGTCTTGTGTCGTTGATTTTTCTATAACTATGCAAAACTTTGTAACTCTTCTGTAGTAAAATATTGTCATAACCTCTTGGAAACTTAAAGGTGTAAGTGGATGTTGAAGAGGAATA